CAACGAGATCAACCCCTTTCAACTTTTTATATTACCAGTTCATTTAAATATGAACTTTAGTCGCCATTTTCTGTTTAAGTCAATGTAAATACTTACTTTTGATGAATTCAATTTACTTTTCCCATCAGAAATAAGAACCATATGATGCATTTTTCGTAAGTAAGTAGAGCTTTGAGACTACAAGTAAATCAGTTATGTGAGATATATCCACTTATTTCCTATAGGGTGATGAAGGACTGGTAGAAGAAGAATTTTCCCACAATGCTATGAGTAGAGCCTACGTTTAAATCGAATTTCGCATCGCTTTGCTTTCCCAAAAGTTGTTCTCATCCAAGCAGAGGCGGACGGCATAAGGAAAACTTTTGGGAAAGCAAGTCTGTGAAATTCAAAGGAAACGTCGGCTATACTCACAGGATTGTGGGAAAATTCTTCTACCAGTCCCTCATCACCTTAAGCGAACTAGATTGAATACATCTCATATGTGATGTATTCACCTTATTTCTTTTTATGGTGATAAGGGGCATTTTCCCACAATCATATGAGTAGACCGTTCTGGTGTAATTTGACTAAGCCTTTCTTTCCCAAGAGGCATTCTCACTCTGATGGAACTGCAGTTTCGACCTCCAACGGGACTCGAACTATGGCATTGCAGTTTATCATCTCGAGACGTTAACCACTAAGTCATATTGCCACTAGTGCTCTTGGTTCACATGGCTGATGGAATTTCAAGGAAGGCCATGCATTTTAACACATTCTATCGTTTGGTAAAGCTATATTTGATATGATAAATGAATACACTACTTTTTTTAGTTTATAAGTAGGCTTTAAAGACTATCCGTAAATCAATTAAATGAAATGTATTCATCCTATTTCTTTTTAAGTTGGATAACACGCTGCATTTTTACTGTTCGAGTCCCACTGGGAGTATTGATAAGACCTTTGTGAGATCTAAACTGCGGGCCACACCAAATGAGAACACTTTTTGGAAAGCAAGGTTATGTGAAATCCAATGGAAATGCTAGGTCTACTAATATGACACTAGGAAAATCCTATTACCAGTCTTCGTATCACCTTACTTAACTGACAGATATACAGACAGACAACAGACATAAAGTTATTGTCACTCGACTTTCCATTTAGCATTCTTTCCATCAATTTTTCCTCCAAAATGTAAACTTGCATCACATTAACTTAATAAGGCAGTATGGGAAAGCCAGCTTTTCTCATATAAACCTACAAACATGCAGACATTCAGATGGACATATAGACAGGCCGAGTGAGAGACGAACGAAAGGATATACAAACATATGGATAGATAGGCATAACCACACAATGTATACATACATACATACTTTCACAGAGATATAAATAGACATATAGACAGATAGACGAATAGACATTAGGACAATTTGGCATGAAGAAAGACGGATAGACATATACACAGACAATCAGTTGTGCTAACATATATGCATACAGATATAAATAGAGAAAGACAATGACAGTCAGTTCCTTTTTTTCCCTCCCTCCCATAGCTCTCTCTCGCCCTCTACATGTTGCTATCTCTCCCCATTCTCTCTTGTATGTTCTCGCTCTACTTCAATTTCCATCCATCCACTACGCCTACACCATTCTGCCCCTATCTCTGTTCCTGTATCTCCCTTTTCCCTTGCTCCATCGTCTCTGTACCTTTGGATGGATCGGGAGTTCTCCCTCCCCCCTTTAACCTTGGACGACTCGGCATGGACACAAAGTTTTGCAACAACTCGGTCTGGAGAAAGGGCCTAATAGTTCGCGGCAAAAAAAGACGTTGCCCAGAAAAGTGTTGGTCTGTCTATTCACATTTTGAGTTGCCCAACTCGTCAAATTTTGGCGCATTCTTCTCTTGCGCCAATAGGACGCCAGAACCGAATAAATCTTTTATCTCATCCCAATTTCGTAGTATTTTCGATGAATTAATCATGTCAATTACTGCAAATTGACAATTGTTGCTTCCCCATTCTCTCGCCCTGGTTGTCCCGGAGATGATCATTTACAGTAAGCAGACATTTTGTAATGACTGCTTTCACAGCCCAAATTTAGCAAAATAATTAAACATAAAACTGTTCACTTTTGTGACATTCTCATACACACCTTTGACTGATTTGATCATCAACTCTCCAAATACCGAGACCGTTTAGGCCACCGCATCACTGCAGTCTCATCTCGACCTGGACACAACCACAAACAGGACACTCTCGGTCGTTTGGGTGGGTGAAGTCGACTGTAACTTGGGTTAGGTGGCAACCAGCACTTATTTCCGGTTCAGATGTCATCCAGATACAAGAAGAGACTCGAAAGAGGTGCTTCAAGTTGTGCTTGTGTCAAGATGAGGGGAAGAGCACGAACTATTGGCCAATCCTGTTTCTCTCGTCACCGATAGACGATATCAACACAAGTCGCCATCGTTTTTCGGAATTTGATAGGCTCTCAAGGCATTTAAACATAATTTGAATTTACATTTTTGCGGTATTTTTGTAAAACATCCTTTCTGTCTCAGAAGTTATCCGTGACATAATGGCACAGTCGGAGCAATGAAAACCAAGATGGTGTGATCGCAGTCTCCTTTCGATTTTCTACAAATGGATTGACCTCGTTTTCGCAACTTGGTCTTGTTGTCAGGGCGATTTAGTAAAAGGCATCTTGTCCGAAGTCGTCTGCCATAGTAGTTATCATAATACCCAGCATCAGACCGTGGACTTGGTACATTCTCAGACGTTTCGCCGGCATCGTAGTCGGCATCATCAGCGAGCCTTGTCTTTTTTGACGAGTTCGCATCTTGTTGTGGAGAACGCTAGCACTCACTGATGAAGCCGACTACGATGCCGGCGAAACGTCTGATGCTGCGTATTATGACAACTACTATGGACTTCGGACAAGGTGCGTTCTACCAAGTCGCCCTGGCAACTAGACCAATTTGCGTAAACGAGGCCAGCCTACTTCTGTAATGGAGTGAGTTTCAACACGGACGGATAGGCAGTTGAATCGGGATCTTCTTCGCACAATCCAGAAGTCGTTAAAGGAGGCTTTGATGTTTAACTCTTCCCATCCGACCGTGTAAATGAAGTATCAAAACTATACCATCAGCATGTGATTCAGCGATTCTTCGATGATTATCTTCTAGTGGCTGAAGGGGATTGGTGAAAGGGAAATTGATTTCGAGTGAAAACTAACCAAATTTGCACTTGAAAGACGTCACACAAACTTCAAGAGGGCATTAAGTCAAAAAAACTAACCAGCTCTTTTTTAAATGCTAATATACCGATAGCAAAAAGCATCCTTATATAAATAGATAATTAGATAATAAAATATAGTTACTTTCTTTTACGAAATCAAAGTCTCTCCAACAATGTCATCTTGGAATATTTGCTAAAACCCAGTTACTCTTTGTAACGACAGTTACATTCATGATTATTAAAAAAAATGCATGTTAGGGTGTGTATGTGTGGTTGTGTGCATAATTTAGAGTATGAAGGTTGAAAGGAACAGCGCACAACTACGGAGAAACAGGAATCCGCCTTTGTCTGTTGGAGAGCTGGGCCGATGACCCTTTTTCTCGGCTACTTGCCCACGAAATGGGGGCTTTCACAAAAGTGTCATCTCAACAGGATCCAGCTTCATTTCGTAAAGACAAATCGTGCGAAAACAAAATTGGTATTCGCGTCGACAGATCGTGAATCTGTATTGCATTCACTCGGTTGCGTTTAAGCTGATGAA